ACCTTCCCACAGCCTGTCTTCTCTACTTTCTTATTTCTATTTCAAGAAATTGTCAATTGTCACACTGCCACAGCGTCCGCAGCATCCGCTCATAGATGTGTGCATTGACTCAAGTGTTATGTGATTCTCTATGAGAGATAGAGATGGAGATGGAGAGATGGAGATCTGTTATGTGAGTACTGTTATTTGGAATGTGTTATGTAAGGAACTGATTTTTACTTCGAGTCAGTGCTCCCATTAGAGTTGCCTTTCTTATAATACATTGTAACTTGTATTGCATATACAATTTCAATGAGCTATAGAAATTTAAAACCTTCAGTTGATGTCAAGCATCGATTATTGTTTTGGATAAAGTGTTGTGCTTTGTTTCATAGCTGAATTGTGTCAGTGCTTGCTCTACAGTCTGTTGAAGTTTAGTGGTGATACTATATTTCAAGTCCATTTTAAAAAAGTAGAACAAATTCAATAAACATAAATAAATAATGAAATAAATTATTTATTTGGTTATTTGGTCCCACTTTATATTAAGTGTCCCTAATACCTGTGTACTTACATAGTAACTAGATGTGTACATAGTATGTAACCACAGTTTAAGTACACATTGGTACATAGTATCTACAGCTCTAATATCTGGAACTACACATATGTAACAACCCACTGAATGGTATGTGTAAGTACAAATGTGTAACAGTACAATGGTAACAACACTTTTTGGTAATGAAATTACAAATGTGTAACAGGACTAACAGCACTTTTTGGTAAAGAAAGTGTTACACTTTATATTAGATCTATCATGTAATTACTCTGATGTTACACAGCAGTGGCCAGTAAGTTAGGCTTTACATATAAATTGTGGTTGGTGTCCAGAATGTTACACTTTATGTTAAGTAGCCAGTTCCTGAGGAGTTACCATGTAAGTACACTGGTAGTACAGTGGTGCTCCAACTCGAGATCCAACTCCTCCCACTTTACATATCCCTAAACCTACCCATCTCCACCCCCTGGATCAAATGATTCCAATTACTCTTATACATATTGTTGTTACAAAATGTAGTTATATAATTTCTGTTACACGAGTACTGTGAAAGTGAAGTGAAAAAAAGTGTTGTTACCAATGTCCTGTTACACATTTGTACTTACACAAACAATCCTGAGGGTTGTTACATGTGTGTAGTTACAGAAAAATTACAGCTGTAGATACTATGTACCAATGTGTACTTACACTGTGGTTACATACTACATACATATTTAGTCACTGTGTAAGTACACAGGTATTAGGGACACTTAATATAAAGTGGGACCTATTATTATTATTTTATTTATTAAATAAAGTGGCCCATTTTTAGTGTCCCAAAATCCTGTAATGGCAAGAAACAATCACAATAGGTTCCTAAATTCATCGTATCTTTTATAAAATTATTCATCAAAAAGGCTTCCAGAGACGGCACGCAGAGATGTACCTTTTAGTTTGGCCAGGAGCAAAAACATTCAAATCAATGCTAAAGCTTTAACCTAAATGCCAACTCTCCAGAGCAAGAAAATAATTTCTCTGGCTTCTTCTACCCTACCCTAAGACCTCTGCGGTGATCATTGAAAGGGAGGGAGTTTTGCTATCAGACTCATTTACAGACATGACAGAAAGATCAAACAGCACATCTCCACTCACTCTGTTTCTGTCCCTCCGCCTCCTTTCCTCTCCAGATGTCATTGTTAATTCTAAATCAGTGCTGTTACTTAATTCTGTTTTGTATTGACTGCCTTTTGTGCTAACCAGGTACAGAAGCATGCTTATCCTGTGATTGCCCTTGACATTTTAATAAGAAACATCAAGTTATTGACCCAAAGCATCTGCCGCTATCTGCAGAGAATCCAAATCCTAAGACTGACAAAGTTGAAGCCACTGATAGTTGTATTTTGCCATGTTCATTTGTTTTCCATGATAGTTAAAACATTGAAATGCTACAGTCTCTCAGTTGTAAAATAGGAATAAAACCAATGCCAAGTTTGTTTTCCAGAAATTCATTTTTAAAAAAGTAAATTGGTGGAGAATGTGGGAGTAAATCAGCGTCATGAACTGCTCTTGTTTTCTCAGATTAGGAAATAAAACATCTGTCAGCTTTGTTCTGAGCCTTAGACTTGAGTAAATTACAGAAGATCACTGAATTTCATTGCTGATTTGACTTTCTTTCTCGTGGCATTTGTTTTTCACATTTTAGCAGGTGGTTAATCCTTAAAAATACACTTTCGTGTTTGTAAGCGAAGTTAGCAAACACAAGCTAATCTCATCTCTTAAGATCTCCCCCCATTTGCAACATTAAAAGATTTATCTTCTGGCTTGGCTAAGTGCACGCTTTCTTCATTATTTTGTCTTTGTTTCTGTCTGAATTTGACTTGATTGAGTTTGCTATACTGATTTTTTACGGGCGCTTCAGTGCCATATGGATGAAGAGAACAAAGGATTAGGGAGAAATTGGGAAAAGAGGCAGAAAGACAGAAAGGGGAACATGACAGGTAGGATCACAAGATTTCCATTGTTCAGTCCATCAGAGCAATTTAAAGCAAAGCACTTCCTCTCCTCAGTGTTTCCAATTTTTGGCTTGCTGTTTTTGTAGTCTGCGAGGAGTCGGCGGAGCACTCCATTCATCAAGCTATTTTTTCCAATTTAGTCCTGAGATTACATGACTATAACTTAAATTCCCTCTTTGAAAAAGACATTAGACATGAGGGGCCTCACTGTGGGCTATACTTGTTGTCTCACCAGTGCTAGCTTGCTATTGGAACATTTAACAAGCTTTTCAAGCGAGGGAATAACATGTTTGATTTAACATGTTGACACATTTGTAACATGCAGTATATTAAATAAAGGTTTAAAGGTCTGCAACCTGAAAATGAGATTTTCCCACTAAACAGAAATTAATCTCACTGGCATAATTATGATAAGATGCAAATGGAGCTGACCCTAAAATGCCATGGTTGATGTCGAAGGAAAATAATTATGGTTTAAATAATCGTAATAAAAAGTAGAAAAAAGAAAAGCAGAGACAGATCACTTGCCCTCAAGCTCCATGAGAACTGAAAAAAAAAAAATTAAATTTTTGATGAATGAAATGAAATGCCGTCAGACTGAGTCCCAGTTTAAGATTATTAATATATTCAAATACTAGTACGGTACTGTCCTTTTTTGATGTAGTTCATTTTTTACGTAGCGCATGACTCATGTACACTCTAGTACATCTCTAGTTTTTTTAATCAGTATAAGCAGAAAAATGATACAGTTTGGTCACTATTTTTCTATTTCATTTTCCCTGGAGTTGCACCCAAACCATTAAGAGAAGCACACATTCTTTACCAGAGGTTATTAGAGACAGAGCACCAGGGTTCATTAAAACATTTCAATTAAATCACCGGCACATGGGGAGAAGGATCATTACCTATGGAGTGTGCTTTGTTTTCTGAATGTCATGCTCAGGTGGCCAAGAACTCCTCAACTGAGTACTGCACATTGATTGAAAAGATGACGTCCTCATGCTTGGCTCTGGTTTCCTGACCTGTTCCACAGCCCAGCATGGCCTTAAACTTCCTTATACATGCCAAAGAGAGGGGCTGTTATTTACACTTTTGCAGCAGTTATTGACTTAGCCAATTTTCTTCTACCAATAATTTGGTGAAATTTTTAATCTGACTGTTTGGTACTGCATTTTTTAAATGTGCACAAATATGCCGTTTTACAAAAACATATGAATATCCCTTTTTCAGAAGTTCAGATGATGATTACTGATGTGTGAATGTAACCTCATAACCACACAGCTTTCATTTTTGCCGATTTATTAGGATTTTTGAACTGAGAAAAAATAAATCCTGTTTTCTATGGCATGTCCCTTTTAAGGGCATCTCAAGTCTCAAGATCTGACTGGCCAAGTTTCTTGCCAGTGATGGATTATGCGTCGCATTCAGCCATAATTTATCATTACTGTCTGCCGACCATGGCCTAGCACAGGGTTTTTAATTGGTTAAGATATGTGCATGCCTCACTGAATGATAATTATTGCTTGTTAGGAATGTTTCCCATCATCCATTAGAGGACATGTGTCATGGGACTCTACCTATTGCCACATTAGAATAGCCGCCAATGTTTTCTCTGTGTATTACTGTGAATATTGCTGATGATGTGTATCTGCTACTAAAATGGGCAATTATATAACAATGATTAGCTACAACCTATTTTATAAGAACACTTATGGTAATACTGTTAATAATTAGATATCCTGTTTAAGATATATTAAGCTTTTCTCTTACCTTGAGGCAAAATGCATGCCTGTGTATTTTAGGTTGTTGTGAACCTGGCTTATGCTCAGGGCTAGTGACGCAAAGGTTGCTAGCTTGATCACTGCAATTAGCAAGCCATGAGCTTTTAGCATTGTGCCCCTATGCAAGGCACCTCAAGTTGCTGACTATTCCTTCATTGTCTGCTGTTTTCTTTGTATGTACTCTAGAATTTGCATTTTTGCTCTCTTGCTATGCTCAAACATTGCCAAGTGTCAAAAGTAGTCATGTATTCTTTTATGGAAAAAAAAACAAACTACTGAACTGCAATTACTCGGGTAATTGGTTCAAAAAGTTCTGTAGTTCCATAAAGAAAAGGGCAAATTTCAAAACACACACTTCCAGGTGAAAACTGCCATTTAGATGGATGTGAATGGTGCCTTTCTCCAGGTATTACATACCCCCTTGAAGCATCTGAAGTGTATTGCATGTTTACATGACGGTGTATTGGAGCTAATGCACCTATAAGTGCACCTTCTGTTCAATTCCGTTGCGCTCCATCTAGCTGTTTTTAACGCCAGAACACACTTAAGCTCTCCATTAGAAACTGTGTTAAACCTGGAGTTTATCGCTTGTAAATGCCTTACAGTCGAAGGTCCAAGTACAAGTTCAACTACTGGACAGTTTATGTAGGACATCAACTGATCCCTGCTCTCTCTATCTTTTTTTTCTCCTAGCTAAGGAAGGCTGTTATGGACCACATATCTGACTCTTTCCTGGAGACCAACGTGCCTCTGCTGGTGCTGATAGAGGCGGCCAAGAGCGGTAACGAGAAAGAGGTTAAGGAGTATGCGCAGGTCTTCCGCGAGCACGCCAACAAGCTGGTGGAGGTGAGTAACATAACACCCCCTCACTCAACTCCCTCATCTCATTCAGCCCGAGCAGATGATTTTTATCTGGGGCACCGCAGGCCACTATCAGTCAGAGCACGAGGTGGCCTTCAGGAAGTCATTCGCCAAGCCAAGGCAATTTAATGACGGAATATGATGCAGTGGAGCTCAATTCTGTAATGACAAATTTGTGTTTGATAATATGGATTCGGATCACAGAGGGGGAATGACACCAGGGAATGGCTTTAACATTTTTTTCCCCCTCTTTAATATCTCTCGTGACTCGACTTCAAAGATGCAGTTCATTTCCATTATCGAAGAGCAATATGGTGACTGAGGTAAAACGGCTGAATGGGAAAGAGACGCTTATCTGAAGGTTGGTATTTGGTGTTGATATATCAAAAATGCAAAAGGGCATATAACTGAACTGTACTGAACTTTTCAAAAGCGTTAGAGGATCACTTCTGAGTAAAACAGATCAATCCTGACATGTTCTCACACTTGCTTTCGGTCACTATATAGGCTTTAGCACACACAAGTATGAGTGCACACATTTTCCTTGCTATATACAAGGGTACATACAGTACAGTATTTCATAGTTTATCATGAGTCCACTGTTCACGAAAATGTGAGATATTCTGTTTGCCGTCGAAGCCTGTGAGTGGCATCTAGATGCTTGCTTTCCTAAAGAAGAGCTTAAGGAGCAATCTGCTTTTGACTCTGAAACACTGGGTTCAGCACTCAATTTTGAGCATGGTATCAATAATGTAACCAGTCTGAGAGAGCAGTTCTCAGTGCTTTTAGATAGACGGGAAAAGTTTTAAGATCAGATTCCATAATATATTTAATATTAATGTGCTTAAATTTGACTTAAAATATGCATATTATCACATGCAATTACCTTCAAATCTTTTCTGAAAGATTTTTTATGGTGACGTATTTGTGCATTTTGTGGTAGGGTACTTTCACAGACCTGTGGGGCCTTGAAGGACTTGTAGCAGCATGATTTGTCTGACCTACTGGAATGTTCTTGTTTAATGGCTGACGAATTTAGTTCACAGACATTTTGTGGCAATTTTGGGAAATGTAAAATGTAAATGGTATCAATTCTAAATGTTTTGGTAATTTCAGACTGGATTACCGCATTTTGGTAGCAAAGATTGTGGTCATATTGTCCACCTCGTAAGTATTTTAATTAGGGAATGGTTATTGAGTTATTCCATAATAAATAATAATGGTATCTATATATCGTTCTCAAGGTTGAGGACAGTATTTTTTTTTTATATATATTTGCAATTTAAAATATTGTTTTTTATTTTAATATGGTATTTTAATTATATATATATATTACTTCGTTTCCGTTTCTTTTTTTGTGATGCTTTTCTTTAGGATTCTTTGATGAATAGGAAGTAAAAAAAAAAAAAAAAAAAAAAAAAAAATAAAAT